CTTTTATTTAATTCTGTGCAGATGCCACAGAGAGGGGCTCTGAGGATGGAAGGGGAAGCCAGTTTACCTCCACGAGGGCCCCACTTCTCTTTCCTGTAGCTGCTGCAACCAGACCACATGGCACCCCAGACTGTCCCTCCTTTGCTGCAATAGGTGCTGGTCCAGCTTCTTCCTTTTTTTGCAAAATGTATTTTTATTTATTTATTTTAAAATATATTTTATTGATGTCAGAGAGAGAAAAAGAGAAACTTCAATGATGAGATAGAATCACTGATTAGTTGTATCCTGCACACCTCTCACTGGGGACCAAACCATGATCTCCTGGTTCATGGGTTGATGCTCAGCCACTGAGCCACACCAGCCAGGCTGGGCCAGCTTCTTAGAGTGCAGGCTGACTGCCCTATAATAAATAGATCCCATGGGTGGTGGGGATAAGGTATTTTAATTTTCTTGTTTTTCTAGTTTTCTGTGTTTTATTTAATGATTGGTAATAGTTAAATAACTAAACAACAAAAATATTGTTACTATAAATTATGTTATCAGCACTTTTCCGGAATTTCTGCCTTTGTAACATTGCATTTGTTCCTTTCTATAGGGTGTATCTGGACAAGTATATAAGACTGAAAAGGCATAGTGTAGTAATTTGACATTGGTTTTATTAAAATAGCTATTTGCCCTTGATTTATTTTTAGTTGTGTCCTCATTTCTTTCAGAAATCTGGTCTATTTTAACTTGTACAAGTGACTTAATCTGTATGAGCCTCAGAGAGGCACTTTGGTGATAATGTGTGTTAAATTGCTCTGAGTGGACAAAAGGTGTCTTAGAAGGTAGTATTGCTCTAATTATAAACCCTTTAAACATAATCAGAGACTAAATAACAAGAATTTAATCTAATTTCCTTTTGGGCCCCTTGGTTAGTCAAGAGGAGTGCCTTACACACTATGAGAGAGGCAGAAGGGATGGTGGGCCGGCAGCAATGTAAACACATTTACAGAATTTTCTGGTAGCACAGAGCAGTCTTGAGTCAGACATGATGGAGCTGCAAAGGACATGTTGAATTTCAAAAAGTATTTACTGACTAGTTTGTCCTTAAAGTACCTCATTGTTTTCAAGTAAATTAATACAAACTTCATTGTCTGTACTAACTATCATTGAGATGCCACTGAACTTAGAGGTAATCTTAATGAACTCTCTGTGCTCAGAAATCTGGAATCCCTCTTAAAGGGTTCCCTTATATCTTACCCTTTCTATTTCTTTTTGGAGTCCCAGCTGTGATCCTTATTCTCTTCTTCCCATTGTCATAGAGAACTTTGATACCATTTCATCTTAAACAAACAGGCAAGCAAATAAACAACATAGCTCAGATAAGAAGTTGGTGGGTAGAGCTGTACCTCTCACAAGGGTGAGTTTAGGGTGATTTGGGGGAGAAAAGGTCTACTGTCTATAAAAATATATTAAGAGTTACCCTTTGAGAGTAAGACATTGTCTCTAGAAAGGCCTTATTAATTATAGGTAAGGATTGATACATTGGCCTATTGTGACTGCTATCATTTCAGCAAGGACAGTTTCCCTATCCAACTCAGCTGTAAACTTAGAAAGTTAGATTTTGGTGATTGAACGTGGGTCTCCACTCCTGCCTTCCTCTCTGAACAACACCAGCTTCAGTATCTGCTCAAACTTCTCCTCAAACTCCTGCAGTCACTCAACTACTGGGCCAGGCCAACCAGCAGTGTGGCCAGCATCTATGCAGACACCTGGGGCTCAGCCTCCCAGACTTCTGTGTCCCAATCCACTAATGTGCGGAGTGGTTGGGGGTCCAGGGGCCTGGCTGTGGGGATGGCTGGGGGTCTGTCGGATATGGGAGGGGGCGGTATCTAGAGCTAGAAGGAGACTATACAATACCTGAATGACTACCTGGCCTCCTTTTTAGGGAAGGTGAGAAGCCTGGAGACTGATAATCAGAAAATGGAGATCAAAATTTGGGAACACCTGGACAGGAAGGTTAGAGACTGGGGGCATTATTTCAAGACCATCAAAGGCTCATATCTTTGCAAGTTCTGTGGACAATGCCTGCATCGTTCTACAGACTGACAAGGCCTGCCTTGCTGCTGATGACTTCAGGGTCAAGTATGAGACAGAATTAGTCATGCACCAATCTGTGGAGAGTGACATCAATGAGCTCCGAAAGGTCATTGATGACATCAATATCACTCGGCTGCAGCTGGAGACAGAGATCAAGGCTCTCAAGGAGGAGCCGATCTTCATGAAGACCCAGGAGGAGGAAGTAAGTGATCTACAAAACCAGATTGCCAACTCTGGGTTTACTGTGGAGTTGGCTGCCCCCAAATCTCAGGGCCTCAGCAAGAACATGATGGACATCGGCCGGGCCCAGTATGATGAGATGGCTTGGGAGAACCCAGAGGAGCTAGACAAGTACTAGTCCCAACAGACTGAGGAGAGCACACAGTGGTCACCTCGCAGACTGCTGAGATAGGAGCTGCTGAGATAATGTGGACCTGAGACATAAGCTCCAGTCCTTGGAGATCAACCTGGACTCAATGAGAAATCTGAAGGCCAGCTTGGAAACAGCCTGTGGGAGGCGGAGACCCGCCATGCCCTGCAGATAGAGCAGCTCAACGGGATCCTAATGCAGCTGGAGTCAGAGCTAGGCCAGGAGTAGGAGGCCTGATGAACATCAAGGTCACACTGGAGGCTGAGAGTGCCACCTACCACCGCCTGCTAGAAGGAGGGGTAGACTTTAATCTTAAGGACATCCTGGACAGCAGCACTCCATGCAATCCATCCAAAAGACCACCACCCGCAGGATTGTGGACACCAAAGTCCTAAGGTGGTAAAGGTGGTAGAAATGGGGCGTCCCTTGGGCAGGAGGCAAAAAAAAGTTCAGAGATCACTGAACATTAAAAAAAGAAAAGAAAAAGGATGCTTTTATGGTATTACCTTTTCTCTCTCTCTCTCTCTCTCTCTCTCTCTCTCTCTCTCTCTCTCTCTCTCTCTCTCTCTCTCTCTCTCTCTCTCTCCACACACATACAATTTGAGCAGCTTTGATCATCCAGCCTACTAGCACATTGTAGCATAATGTCTCTCCCCTCCCCTGCCCCCCCTCTTTTACTTCCCTCCCCTCCCTCCTCTCCCCTCTCTTCCCTTCCCCTTACCTCTCCTCTCTCTTTTTCTATCTCAGCATGTTGAGAGAGAGAGAGAGAGAGAGAGAGAGAGAGAGAGAGAGAGAGAGAGAGAGAGAGAGAGAGAGAGAGAGAGAGAGAAGTGAGAAAGAACCATTGATCAGTTGCCTTCTTTAAGTTCCCCCCCTGGGGATCACACCCACTATCCAGGTATGCGCCTTGATGGGCAATGAACTGGCAACCTTTTGGTGCTCAGACAACACTCAGCCAACTGAGCCACTCCTGCAGGGCTACCTGCCCTTCATATGTTTTTATTAAATTAATGGCAGGCAAAGAAGGAAAAGGCTGTAGTGTGTTCAGGTGTGTGTGTGCTCTGGATATTAAAGCTACCAAGGGTCAAAAAGTTTTGATGCTAGAATGAAAACATTACTCAGTCACTAATTTTCAAGTCACCAAAAAACAAAGTGTAATGGATGAAATGCATCCTGCCTTGGAATATTTGTCTTAATTCATTGAGTTGAAAACAGACAGACCTTCAATTAAAAAAAAAAATAGTGTAGTAAAGAGTCACACAAATGCTGAGTCAGTATAAGAACAATATCTTTTATTTTACTTTTTTTTTTAGGTCCACGAAATTTAAAAATTTTGGAGAGATGGGAATAAAATGGTGCATTTTGTATTTTAAGTTTTTTCGTCTGAATATATAAAATTCCAGGTCATCTCATTAACCACAGCAATAAAAACTTACAAGGAGCCTCAAAGAGTTAACAGATTTTTCAAACATAGTACTCATCACCTAAGTTGTTTACTTATTAAAATTAGTAATTTTAAAGAAGAAAACCTTTCATTAAACAGGAAGATTGAGAGCCAGAGCCAGAGGCCTAAACACAAGAAGTTTGTTTTTTGTTTTAATCTATTGATTTAGCAGGAACAGAACAAACACGCCCACAGCCCGGATATAATAATCCGACCCAAGTGATAAGCTTAGATGGGAGGAAACAGTAATTTGCTCAGTACCTCCCATACTACCTGGAGAGTTTCAGAAGAACAAAACAAAACAAAAAACCCCAACAAACTACCGGGGAAAAAAAAATGTTTTAAAAGCCAATTCAGCGTCCAGACCCACACCAAACACCGAACCTGGGACTTTTCCTAAGTGCGAGCAGACCCAGGGAGGGTGAAGGAAAACAGCCAGCGGCGCCTAGGGACAACCGGGCAGGGTGGGCAGGAAGCCCACGGCCAGGGAGACCCTTCCTCCTGGTTTTCGGAAAGGGGCTCCGGACCCTCATTTCCCCGGGGTTCCCTCCACCCATGGCTGCAACCACGGACGCGGCGCCGCGCCGGAGACAGAAGGGCCCGGGAAGGGGACGCGGACCCGGTGACGGGATGGAGCGCGGTGCGGGCGGGAGAGCGCGCCCCGCGCCCCCCGGCGCCCGCGCTGCTGTTGTCCGGGGTGCTGAAACCCGGACCTGCCCGGGAGGCGGCGGCGGCCACTTTTCTGTCCCGGGGAGGGGTGCGGGGATTGCCGGTCCAGCTACACCCATCTTGGTCCCAGGTGCCGCCAGATGAGGTCCTCCCCAGTCCCTAGCCTAGGGGAAGGAGAGAAGGGAATGGGGTGAGCACAGCGGGCAGGGCAGGCGGGAACCCGCCTCTCTGGGCCGCCCAGCGGCGGGAGCCCCGCTCCACCTGCGCGCCCACTCTGGCCGCCCGGGGCCGCCGCGCCCGGGGGCAGACCGCGGGGGGGAGCCCGGCGCGGACGGCAGGCGCCGGGGTGCGTGTGGGTGAGCGGCTCCAGTCCCGGGATGGGGGGGTGTGGAGGGTGGTGGAGGCTGGAGCACGCGGGGCATGCGCAGTGGTGCGGAGGAGGAGGTGGCGATGGCCCGGGGAGGCGGGGGGACCGCTGTTTATTTGCAGCTGGGCCAACTCGGAGGCGCAGGCGGCGGCGGCAGGTCCAGCGCCCGCCGCACCATGCCCGAGCCCACCTCCAGGCAGCCGCTGCGCGCCGCCGGGGCCCCGGCCGGGGAGGATGCCAGACGCCCGGCAGAGGCCAGGGCAGCAGCGGTGGCGGCGCGATGGTGGTGACCGGCTCTGCCCGAGGCGGCGGCGGCGGCGGCGGCGGGGACCGCGCGCCCTCCCGGCGGCGGCGGCAGCGGGACTGCGGACTCGCGCCGGCCGGGGCGGCGGCGCTGCTGGCCGGGGCGAGCTGCCTGTGCTACGGCCGCTCCCTGCAGGGCGAGTTCGTGCACGACGATGTGTGGGCGATCGTGAACAACCCCGACCTGCGGCCCGGCACCCCGCTCCGTTGGGGCATCTTCGCCAACGACTTCTGGGGCAAGGGCATGGCTGAGAACACCAGCCACAAGTCCTACCGGCCGCTCTGCGTCCTCACCTTCAAGTGAGTCCCCGCCTCGCGCCCGCAGCGCGGTTTCAAATCTCTCCACTTGCCCAGAAGTTGCGGGACTGGTTTGGTGGGCGTTTCTTTTTCTTGCTTTTGCCCTTCCCCATCCGTGCCTCGCTCCTCTCCAGACGCTCCAGGCCACGCTGCTCTGTCGACTGCGGTCCCGCTTCTCTGGGCTCCCGGGCGGCTCGGGAGGGAGGCGCGGGCTGGGGAGTTGAGATGGAGTTTCTCAAAGACTCTGCGCTCCGGGCGGGTTAGTCTATGGGAACAAGACTGGGAGAGGGGCTGGGGGAGCTGTCTCCGCACCCCCACCCCCCACCCCACTGCTGCTGGAACGTGGTCAAGTGAGACCACTGCGGGCCCAAGGAGTTCCGAATGAGTGGCTGTGGTGATGCTTCCAAGTTGGGGATGTCTCAGAGGCATTAGGCAGCTTTGCCGATGGGGACTGTGATCAGTCGCTTAGGGGTCGCTTTCCCAGGAGATGAGGCAGGATCCTTGAATTGTAGGGCTGCCTGAGTTTTGGGAAGGAGCAGGGGAGTGGGCAGAGGAGACGATCTTTCCACTACCCGCAGCCTTGGCTGCTCCCGGAACCCCTCCAGCCTGCGGAGAGAACCCTGATTCAGACTTGGAAAGGTGCAAAGCAAAGGAATGCAGAAGCCTGGGAGCCTCTGAGGATCCTGGCGTCCCAGTCGAAGTAGTTTTTCTTTTTTACAACCTCGGAGTCATGATTCAGCATTTCTGGTGTGAATAACGTGCAAAGGGACCCGAGGGAACGCCAGTTTTTGTTTTTTTTTGTTTTTGTTTTTGTTTTTTTTTGTTTTTTGATATTTTCTTGAATTTAAAAGAGACCTAGCTTCAGATGGGGCGAAGGGCTGATGTGAGGGAAGTGCTATTTCATACATCACGAGCTTGACTCAACCGCTTCTAATTTGACTCAGCACTGAAGCTGGGGATGTGTCGGATAAAACTGTTGAAATAAAGGTTGGTTCTGTACCATTAGCGTTCTGAGCCTTTTCCAACGGGTGTAATCTGAACCCGTCTTTATGGAAACGATTATTTGAGATGGGATCCAATCTGCAGGGTCTCCTGACAGGTGTCTCTGAAGACTTAGAAAAGGAAACCCTAGCAATTGGCAACAACCCATGGGCTTCTGGCTTAATTATTTCCATTGAAAGTTTAATGTTTTAAGGGGGGAGGGGTTTGAGGAAATTGCACATTTGCCTCTGAGGAGAATATCTTATAAACATTTGTCCTCTTGGAAAGTGGTTTTGGATTCCAGCTGAAAATCAAAAGCCCGTGAATTGTTGCCAATTGCTATGGCTTCCTTTTCTAAGTCATCAGACACCTGTCAAGAGACCTCACCCTGGCCTCCAGCTAGAGCTGCTCAGTAGTTTCAGTTTTCTCAGTGTTTGTTTAAAATCCGCTAAGATGGCACAAATATAAATGGTTAACTTCCAGACTGAACTGGTTTTTAATCCATGACACTGAGGGCTGATGGTTAATTTAAGGTGTGGAAGCGCTCAGCATGAGGTGTGTGGGGCTTACAACTGCCATGGAGACCATCCAGGTCCCTAGTTTGAGCATTTTCCATTTTAAAAAGGTCAGTGCCAAATGTTTCTGCCCAGTTTGGTGGAGGGTGAGGAAGAGTGTTTTCACTTCTTGACTTTGTAAAAAAGGTCTTATTTATTTATTTATTTATTTATTTATTTATTTATAATTTATTTTAATTCATGCAGAAGATGGCAGGTGTAGAAGAGTGGAGTGTAGGAATGGAGTAGACCATGAAGCAAGGCCTTTGAGGAAGAGGAAAGTTGGTAGGGATATGGCAGAACAGGGGCAAGGGAGGAGTGTTGAGGGTGGGGTGGGGTGGGCAGAGAGCATCTCTTGGAATCACAGTTATAAAAAGCAGCTTGGTGTCTAAGGTGCATTGCTCTTTGTGTAGGGAAACTCACTGGCTATGCAATGCATCCTTTTAAAAACAATTCTTTGGAGAAGATTGAGTTGCAAATCTGGGGTGCAAACACTAGTTGGAAAAGGATGGGTGCCTCTTCAGAAACAGAAAGTGAACTAAACTTTCTGTACTCATAGGTGTTGATTTAAATAAGACCTGGAGCCTGGCCAGTGTGGCTCAGGGGTTGGCTGTGGATCCAAGAACCCAGAGGTCACTGATTCAATTCCCAGTCAGGGCACATGCCCAGGTTGTGGGCCTGATCCCCAGGAAGGGGTGTGCAGCAGGCCACAGATCAATGATTCCCTCTCATTGTTGTTTCTATCTCTATACTTCTCCCTTCCTCTCTTTCTAAAATCAATAATAACAGACTTAAATAAATAAATAAATAAATAAATAAATAAGACCCGGATTTCCTTTTCAGTCATCTGAGGTGAGACTGATTCAATAGCCTAAAACCAGGCATGTATAAAGGATGACATAAACCAGGCTAGACCCACACAGCTCTAAAGATTGTTGCAAGGAAGGGCACAAAAATCACACTTATTAAGCTATTCAGTGTGAACCAATCATTGGCCGTTATGATTTTTATTTTAGGTAGTTGGTAAAAACATCAAGTGGCCTTGTACATATGTTCAAACTACTTTAATTGTATCTAAGTTAGGCCTGTGTGGACAAAGATCTTTGAGAATTTAAAACCATTGTATGAATTTTATTTATTTACTTATTTATTTTTATTGTGGTAAGAACACTTAATATGAAATCTACCACCTTAAGCTTTTAAGTGTACAACACAGCATTGTTAACTGTAGGCACAATGTGCAGTAGATCGCTAACACTTAGACTTCTCTTGAGTAATTGAAACTATGCACCTGTTGAACAGCAACTGCTGTCTCTCCCAACCCTACTTTTGGCAACCACTATTTTCCAAGCTGTTTCAGTAAGTTAGATTATTTCAGACACTGCTTAAGTGGACATCTGCAAATGGGAGATTTTACTTAGCATAATGTCCTCCAGGTTCATTTATGTTGTGACAGATGGCAGAATTTCCTTCTGCTTTTTAAAGGCTGAATAATCCATTGTATGCACACTCCACTTTTCTTTATCCACTCATTTGATATTGGACACTTCAGTTGTTTCCATATCTTGATTATTGTGAATAATGCTGCAATGAACATGGAAGTGCAGATATCTCTTTAAGACCCTGACTTCAATACCTTTGGATATAGACTCAGAAGTAGGATTGCTGGGTCATATCATAATTGTATTTTTAAAAAACTTCTGTTTTCTATAGTGGCTGTGCCATTTTGCATACCTACCAATAGTGCACAGCAAGCATGTCAAACTCACCGGCCCCATGCCTCATTTATTTGGCCCGTGTTAGCTTTTGACTTTAACTTGCTTGGTGTATAGGGTTCCAATTTCTCCCCATCTTTGCTAACACTTTTTCCCTCCACCCTAACAGCTGTGAGGTATATCTCATTGTGGTTCTGATTTGCATAATTAAATTCTGATAATTCGTGATGTTTAGCATTTTTTCATATATCTGTTGGCCATTTGTATGTGTTCTTTGGAGAAATATCTATGTCCACCCATTTTTAAATCAGATTATTTGTTTTTTGTTCTTGCTTTGAATTATAAGAGTTTCTTATATATTAATAACATAACAGATATATGGCTTACAAATATTTTTTCTCCTATCCCCTAGGTTGCCTTTTCATTCTGTGGGTTGTTTCTTGTGGTATGCAGAGGCTTTTTTAGTTTGGTGTAGTCTCATTTGTCTAATTTTGCTTTGATTGCTGGTGTTTTTGATGGCATATATAAAAAACCATTGCCAAATCTAATATTTTGAAGTTTTCCCCTATGATTTTCTTCCAGGAGTTTCACAATTCCAGGGCTTACATTTAAATTTTTAATACATTTTGAGTTGATTTTTATGTGTGGTGTAAGATATGGGTCCAATTTTATTCTTTTCCATAAAGACATTCAGTTTTCCCAGTTCGTTTTTTTTTAATGAATGCATTATTATTTTTTAAAAATATATTTTATTAATTTTTTACAGAGAGGAAGAGAGAGGGATAGAGAGTTAGAAACATCAATGAGAGAGAATCATTGATCAGCTGCCTATTGCACACCCCCCTACTGGGGATGTGCCCGCAACCAAAGTACATGCCCTTGACTGGAATGGAACCTGGGATCTTTCAGTCCACAGGCCGACGCTCTATCCACTGAGCCAAACCAGTTTCAGCTCCCAGTTCAGTTTTTAAAAAGACATTCTCCATTGTGTATTCTTGGCACCCTTGTTGAAGATCATTTGATCCTATAGGCATGGGTTGATTATTGGGCTCTCTGTTCTTTTTCTTTGGTCTATGTGTCTGTTTTTATGCAAGTACCACACTGTTTTAATTATTGTAGCTTTGAAGTATATTTTGAAATCAGGAAGTGTGATGCCTTCAGCATTGTTCTCCTTTGTATATTCAGTATCTTTGTGGTTCAGTATGAAATTCATAATTTTTTTTTCAATTTTTGTAAAAAAAGCTACTGGGATTTTGATAAGGATTACATTGAATCTATAGATGGCTTTGGGTAGTATGGGCATTTTAACAATATTAAGTCTTCCCATCCATGAAAGTGTGATGTCTTTCCATCTATTTATGTATTCTTTAATTTTTTTTCATCAATGATTTGTGGTTTTAAGTGTACAGGTTTTTCACTTCTCTGGCTAAGTTTATTTTTATGTATATGTTATTCTTTTTGATACTATAGTAAATGGAATTGTTTTCTTTTTTAAAGTATGTTTTTATTGTTTTTGGAGATAGAGAAAGGAAGAGGAGGAGACAGAGAGAAAAACATCTATGTGAAAGCTAAACATTGATTGGTTGCCTCCTGCATGTCCCCTACTAGATATCAAATACAGAATCTGCAACCTGGGCATGTATCCTGACCAGGAATCAAACCAGCAACCTTTGGATGCCCAGGACAATGCTCAACCAAATGAACCACACCAGCCGGGGTGAAGCTGATTTTTTAAATTTGAATTTATATCCTG